CCAGTGTGTCATTTAAAGCCTTTATTTCCTTGTTGATCTTTTGCTTAGATGATCTGTCCATTTCAGTGAGGGGGGTGTTAAAGTCCCCCACTATTATTGTATTGTTGTCAATGTGTTTCTTTGCTTTTGTTATTGCCTTATATAATTGGCTGCTCCCATGTTAGGGGCATAGATATTTACAATTGTTAGATCTTCTTGTTGGATAGACCCTTTAAGTAGGATATAGTGTCCTTCCTCATCTCTTATTACAGTCTTTGGTTTAAAATCTAATTAGTCTGATATAAGGATTGCCACCCCAGCTTTCTTTTGGTGTCCGTTAGCATGGTACATGGTTTTCCACCCCCTCACTTTCAATCTGGGGGTGTCTTTGGGTCTAAAATGAGTCTCTTGCAGACAGCATATCGATGGGTCTTGTTTTTTAATCCAGTCTGATAGCCTGTGTGTTTTGATTGGGGCATTGAGCCCATTTACATTCAGGGTAACTATTGAAAGATAGGAATTTAGTGCCATTGTATTGCCTGTAAGGTGACTGTTACTGTATATTGTCTGTGTTCCTTTCTGGTCTGTGTTGCTTTTAGGCTCTCTCTTTGCTTAGAGGACCCCTTTCAATATTTCTTGTAGGGCTGGTTTCGTGTTTGCAAATTCCTTTAGTTTTTGTTTATCCTGGAAGCTTTTTCTCTCTCCTTCTATTTTCAGTGACAGCCTAGCTGGATATAGTATTCTTGGCTGCATATTTTTCTCATTTAGTGCTCTGAATATATCCTGCCAGTCCTTTCTGGCCTGCCAGGTCTCTGTGGATAGGTCTGTTGCCAATCTAATGTTTCTACCCTTGTAGGTTACATATCTCTTCTCCCGAGCTGCTTTCAGGATTTTCTCTTTGTCTATGAGACTCGTAAGTTTTACTATTAGATGTCGGGGTGTTGACCTATTTTTATTGATTTTGAGAGGGGTTCTCTGTGCCTCCTGGATTTTGATGCCTGTTTCCTTCCCCAAATTAGGGAAGTTCTCTGCTATAATTTGCTCCAATATACCTTCTGCCCCTCTCTCTCTTTCTTCTTCTTCTGGGATCCCAATTATTCTAATGTTGTTTTGTCTTATGGTATCGCTTATCTCTCGAATTCTGCCCTTGTGATCCAGTAGTTGTTGATCTCTCTTTTTCTCAGCTTCTTTATTTTCCATCATTTGGTCTTCTATCTCACTGAACCTCTCTTCTGCCTCATTTATCCTAGCAGTTAGCGCCCCCATATTTGATTGCACCTCATTAATAGCCTTTTTGATTTTGACTTGGTTAGATTTTAGTTCTTTTACTTCTCCAGAAAGGGTTTCTCTAATAACTTCCATGCTTTTTTCAAACCCAGCTAGTATCTTTAAAATCATGATTCTTTTTTTTTTTTTTTTAAGATTTTATTTATTTATTTGTCTGAGAGAGACAGAACACAAGCAGGGGGAGAGGCAGGCAGAGGGAGAAGCAGGCTCCCTGTCGAGCAAGGAGCCCGATGTGGGACTCGATCCCAGGACCCTGGGATCATGACGTGAGCTGAAGGCAGCTGCTTAACCAACTGAGCCACCCAGGTATCCCTAAAATCATGATTCTGAAGTCTAGGTCCGACATCATACTAATGTCCATATTGAGTAGGTCCCTGGCAGTCAGTGCTACCTCTTGTTCTTTTTGTTGAGGTGATTTTTTCCATCTTGTCATTTTGTCCAGAGGAGAATAGATTAATGAGAGAACAAAATGCTAACAGGGTAACAATGTCCCCAGAAAATATACTCTAAACAAATCAGAAGAGACCTGAAAGCAGGGGAAAAGAAAGGGAAAGAAAAAAACAAGAAAAGAAAAAGATAAAAACAAACAAAAATAGAACAAAACAAAAAAAACCCAGAATATGATCAAATATGATAGGCTGGTGCATAGATTAGTGCCACAGACTAGATTTTGGGTGTATTTTGGTCTGTTAGAAGAAAGTGCCTCCCAAAATTTTACAGAAAGAAAAACTTATATGTGTACAAAAATAAGGGTTGATATGATGAAGGGCTGGAATATGACTGTAAAGATGAAAATTATAAAAGATTTTATAAAAGGAATTGGTAAGAAGTTGGTTGAAAAAAGAAAGAAGAGAATTTAGAAAAGAAAAAGAAAAAAAAAGGGAGAGAATGTGATCAGGCAGGAGACTAGAACAAAGCCATACACTAGAGTTTTAGGGTATGTTTTGATCTGTTAGAAGAAACTGTATCTCAAAATTTTAAAGAGAGAACTACTTATATATATATGCCAAAAATAAGGGTAAGTACTATGAAGGGATAGAATATGACTCTAAAAATGAGAATAAAAATGTTTTTTAAAAAAGGGATTGGTAAGATGTTGGTTGAAAAGGGAAAAAGAAAAATTAAAAAAAAAAAGACAGTTAAAAAAAAGAAAAAAAATTAACTTTGAAAGACTAAAGAATCATGGTAAAAAAGCCATGGATTCTATGTGCAGTATTCCCCTAGCTCTGGAGTTTTGCCATTCTCATTGATCAGTAAACTTGGTCTTGGCTGTCTGTTCTTGCTGATCTTCTGCGGGAGGGACCTGTTGCCGTGGTTCCCAAATGTCTTTGCCGGAGGCGGAATTGCCCCGCCCTTGCTGGTCCGGGCTAAGTAATCTGCTTGGGTTTGCTCTCTGGAGCTTTTGTTCCCTGCAAGCTTTCCGTACAGCTTTGGAGTACGAGAGTGAGATGGTGGCCTCCCAATGTCTGCCCTGGAGGACACAGAACTCGTGGCCCTGCTCCTCAGTGAGCCCCCAGAGAAAAGCAGTCAATCACTCCCGTTTCCCCAGTCTCCGGCAGCACTCCGTGCTCACCCGGCCTGTGCCTGAGCATTTCTATCTCTGGCATACGACCCTGTGTGGAGTCCCCAAACCCAGCAGATCCCTGCAGTGCACTCCTGCGCCACTCCTCCTGGGGGAAGATGGGGGGTCTCCCCGGATCTGCTGTTTTTTGGGTCCCTGCTGGAGGAACAGTGGGCCGACTGTGCCATGGATCACAGTTTATGGCAACCCCGAGCTCAGAGCCCGCTCCTGGGCTCTGTCTCTGCAGCCGGCTTCCCTGCTCTGATACCTGGGAGCTCTGCGGCACTCAGGCACCCCCGGTCTTTCTGTGACCCCGAGGGTCCTGATACCACACTGTCCCATGAGGGTTCCACCCCCCGCTTAGCCACTGGAGTGACGTCCCTCAGCGGAGCAGACTTCTAAAAGTTCCAATTTCTTGCTCCGCGGCTCTATCACTTGCCAGAAGCAGCCGATGGAGGCTCCCTCCCACGCCATCTATCCTCCCGAATATCACCTTGGATTCACTTCTCCACATGTCCTACCTTCCAGAAAGTGGTCGCTTTTCTGTTCAGAGAGTTTTTGCTATTCTTTTCTTCGATCTCCTGTTGAGTTCATAGGTGTTCAGAATGGTTTGATCCCTATCCAGCTGAATTCCTGGGACCAGACAAAATCCAGGTCTCCTACTCCTCTGCCATCTTGCTCTGCCCCCTGCCTTTTAGTTTTGTTGATTGTTTCCTTCACTGTGCAGAAGCTTTTTTTTTTGATGTAGTCCCAACAGTTTATTTTTGCTTTTGTTTCCCTCATCTCAGGAGACATATCTAGAAAGAAGTTGCTACAGATTGTGTACTCTCCCAAGATTATTATGGTTTCAGTTCTCACATTTAGGTTTTTAATCCTTTTGAATTTATTTTTATGGTGTAAGAAAGTGGCCCAATTTCATTCTTTTGCATGTTGCTGTCTAGTTTCCCCAACACCATTTATTGAAGAGACTGTCTTTTTCCACTGGATATTCTTTCCTCCTTTGTTGAAGATTAATTGACCATAGAGTTGTGGGTTCATTTCTGGGTTTTCTATTCTGTTACACTTATCTATGGAGACACTGAGAAATTTTAAAAGTAGCCCACGTGAGCACAACTAAGACAGTATTAAGGGTAACAAAGTGCTGAGGTAAAAAGTCTCTTTTTAAAGTTGCAGCAATTAAAGATTTCTGAGAGCTGAAGAGCTGCAACCTGACTTGTAATTCATATATGTAGCTTATATCCTCTTAACTGATCATTTTAAAATGGCCAATTGTTACAAATCCAAAAGGGATCACATCCTATATGGCAATGAAACTCTGAGGAATCCCAGCCCCCATGACTATGTATGGTACCACCACTCTTTTTGCTGTAGTTCAGAAACATTCATGAGTAGATGAAACATTTCCAATGTAAAGTATAATTCTTATTAAATTCATTAAAATGGTAGTGCTTATTGGAATTTGTATTATCTGATTAAAGTGCCACCTACTGGGGCCCCTGGGTGGCTCAGTTGGTTACATGTTTGTCTTTGGCTCAGGTCATGATCCTGGGGTCCTAGGATAGAGCCCTGCATGGGGCTCCTTGCTCAGAGGGGAGTCTGCTTCCCCCTCTCCCTCTGCCTGCTGCTCCCCCTGCTTTGTGTTCTCTCTCTGTGTGTGTCAAATAAATAAATAAAACCTTAAAAAAAAAAAGTTCCACCTACTTTGGAATTTTGCTAAGAATCCCTTAGAACCTCTCCCTGTCTTACACGATCCATCTTTAATTCACACATTCCATAATAGTGTAGTAAGGAGTTTATATAGGCACACAGGAAAGTTAAAGTTTTCTAGCTTCTATATGAGCTTCCATTCATCTTTGTATGTAAGGATAAACACTTCTGAGACACATCATCCATCAGATGACATGTAATTCAAAATTTTCTTTTTGTTTTCTTGTTTTGTTTTGTTTTGTTTTGGGGGGTAGTAAGTACAGTTTTTATTTCCGTCCTTTAGCTCAGCTGCTTAGATACAACAAAAATGCAAGTGAAAATCCAAACAAGTATTTCCTTTCTGTTCTGATAACCATGTGAAGCCTGGAAGGCTGCCTCTGGAATTTCCCTTTGTATTCTGCCAGGTGACCTCCCCCCTCCCCCCTCCCCCCCCCCGTTTATTACTTATGTATTCTCCTGATGTTCTTTCAACATCATGATTGTTTTCAAGCAAACGTATACATTTCATTTTCTCCAAATTATTAACTCCTTTTTCATCATCCATCTCCAAGCTCCTTAAATGTTTGGAAGTTGGTAGTTCAGTTTCTTCATATTCCAGTAGTACTTCTTATTATCCAAAGCTGGAAGGAAGCCACTGCTGGTCAGCTGAGGTAGGCCCTGCAACCCAGGCAGGTGCTTTCGGCTCTGTCTTAGGGTCTTCCTTACCAGTCGGTCAAGCTCTTTGGCCGAAGGCCCCATTTCTCTGATGCTGTCAAAATACGGATGCTGTAACAGCTGTTCACATGTCAGTCTCTCAGCAGGATTCATGTGGAGACAGCCCTTTAAGAGCCCCAGGGCAGGATAAGAGATGTTTGGAAATTTTAATTCCAGTGGTTCCATATCTTCACTGTTTGGAATTTTCACCCCACTGAAGTCCTGATTTGTGCTAAATACTTGTTGGTGCCTAGGAATGAGATCTCCCAAGGTCTTCCTGGTTAGACAGAGCTGATCTACATCTGATTTTCCTGGCCACAGAGGCACCCCTGACAGCAGCTCAGCAAAGACACAGCAAACTGCCCAAACATCTACTGGGGTGCCGTACTGCGTGTCCCCCACCAAGAGTGCTGGGGAGCGCTACGTGGTGGCCACGTAGTCTGTGTAGTAGTCACTCAGTCCAGTCAAAAGCCGAGCAAATCCAAAGTCACAGAGCTTAATCACTGAATGTTTTGTGATGAGGATATTTTCTGGCTTCACATCTCTATGTATGCACTCTGGGGAGAGTCCCTAGATGTCAGCTCCGTCCCACACACCAGAGTTCTTAGAGCTTAGAGGGAATGACTTTTAATCAGATATATGTATAAATCCCTATATATTTAAATAAAGGATTTTGACATCTCCATAGATAATTTTAGTTGATATTTTTGTAGTTCTGCCTTTTTTTATATTTCACACCATGATTCCTTTTACATTTAAATTTGAATGTGCTATTTTATTTAACCATTTTATTTTGAGGAAATTGAATATTCATATTCATTAGTGAGAAATAATACCAGAGTTCTTAAGCACACTTTACTTAATTTTTCCAGTGGTAACACCCTGCAAAACCATACCAGCATATTGATTTTGAGACAGTCAAGGTATAGAATATTTCCAGCACCACAAGAATCCCTCATATTGCCCTTTTATAGCCACACCCACTTTCCTTCCCCTTTTACCTTTTCCTTAAAACCCATCAACCACGAATTTGTTCTCTATTTTTATCATTTTGTCATTTTAAGCATGTTATAAAAATGGAATCATATAGTATATAAACATTTTGGTTACATTGGCATTTTTTTACTCATCACAATTCTCTGGAGATACACCCACATTGTTACATTTATCAATGGTGCATTCTTTTTTACTTTATTCCATGGTATAGATGTACCACATTTGTTTAACCACATTGTTTAACCATTAAAGGACACCTGAGATTTTTTTCAGCTTTTGGCTATTACAAATACAATTGATTTGTTTTAAAAACTCACCCCAACTCTTGAGTGGATAATGGACTACAATGAGCAAGAATGGAAGCAGAGAGACCCAGAGGGAGGTCATGACAGTCAACTCTATGACAAATTCGGTCACCACAATAGGAAGATTCTTTATGCTGGATCTTGTGGGCACAGGTGACCAACCAGGCTATGTAAGAAGTCTAGTCTCTCTCTAGTCTATGGTAATTAACTACTACTCCTTTTCATAATTTACTTTGGGCAGTTATTTCCTTTGAGGAGAAAAACATAGGCAGTGAAGCCTCTATGTTTCCTGCTTTGAGGCAGACAGAACTTAAAATCAAAACATCTTATATTTAATTGCCAAAATTAATGTGAAAGAGAACAGCAAAAATTTTTGGAAAAAAATTCCCCAAAATCGAAGACATGAAAATGTCAGCTGGCTCTTATAAATATGGTTTTAATAATGTATATTATATTAAAAAAATGAAATTAGACTTGGGATCTTTCCCCACGAAGGCTTGAGTAATTACCAGTCACAGTTATTTTTTCTCTTGAGCTCTAGGCAACCAACACTGTAATCTGTACTCTAGTCTCATCTATATTACATGTGAGAAGTGTTAGGTCAATGTCTTATTGAAATAAATTTTAGGAAAGGCCATATTTCCTGCCTGATACATGTCTTTTGTTAATATTATGCTGGAATAACTTAATAGCTGTTATTATGGAGATAATTCCACATCTCTTTTTCTGGTTGTGAGAAAATTGATGCCTACCATCTTTGGAAAATTATTTTCTGATACAATTTTGTTCTTCATCCCTGTTATTGGGCTTTTAAACTATTTTAAGAAGTGTATTTGCAGCTACACTCATCATGGAATGTGAAAGGTCTATGTTTTAGAGTTACTTCACCCTTCTTCCCAATGGGATTTCTCATACTTCTTAATTGTAATCCTTTACATATCATTTTATGTGTGAAATCAACTCTGAAACAACTTAAATAGTAGCTTCTAAGATTACCTTTAGTGTTTTGATAGAGAAAAAAGTCTTTCCTATATTTTCTTTTGTAGTTTCCCTTTATCATATGAAGGAAGTTTTCTCTATTCTTAGTATTTTCACATAATTTTCACATGAATGAGTACTAATTTTCAACAAGTAATTTTTTTTTATTTTTTTGTGATGATTATACATTTTGTATTTAATCTTATTAATATAATTAGTTAAACTGGTTGATTTTTCAAATGGGAAAACAATCTTAAATACCTGGAATAAAAACTACTTGATCATAATGGCTTAGATTAGTATTGTTTAATTGAGCATTTTTGCATGTGTATTTATAGAATATACTGGCTTTAAAGTGCCATTTTCATAACATGCCAGATTTTTAAATCAATAGTGTGTTGATCTCAAAGATTAGTTGAGAAGTACTCTTTTTCTATTCAAGAAAGAATAAGTGTAAAGTTGGTATTGTTTCTTCTTTAAATATTGATAAAAATTGTCCTGTGAATCCATCTTGTTTAGGTGTTTTTTGCTTTGCTGTTGTTGCTTTTATTGTCATTGCTGCTGATGTTTTAAGTTTTTTAATTATAAATTTAAGTTCCTTCACAGACATAGAGTATTCACTTCTGAAAAAGTTCTTCATAATGTTGACAAATTTTGTTCCTTAAATAATTTGACCATTTTAGGGGCAGCTGGGTGCCTCAGTCATTAAGCATCTGCCTCCAGCTCAGGTCATGATCTCTGGGTCCTGGGATTGAGCCCCAAATCGGGCTCCCTGCTCAGTGAGGAGTCTGCTTCTTCCTCTGTGCTTTCCCACAATTTCTCTCTCTCTCTCTCTCTCTCAAATAAATAAAAAAGAAACTTAGAAAAAAGAAATTTGACCATTTTATATAAAGTGTCAACTTCACTGGCACAAAGCTTTTCATACTATCCTTTGTATATCTTTTCAATTATGTAAAATCTATACTGATGTAACCTTTTTATTCATTTGTTCTCCATGCTTCTTACACCTTTTTTCATTATTTTCTTCTTATTATTTTTTTTCTGTGTTTCAGTTTGGAAATTTTATGTTAACCTAACTTCAACTTTACATATCCTGTATTCTATTTTCTATTGAACCTAGCTAATGAGTTTTATTTTCCAATTTTTTTTTCAGTTCTAAAACATTCATTTAATTCTTTATGAATATTGATTCTCTATTGAAAACTGCCATCTTTTCTTCACTTGATCCAATCATTCTCTATTTTCTTCACATATTAGTCACAGTCATATTAAATTCCTCATATGCTAATTCCAATATCTGGGTCATCTGGGAGTCTACTTCTATTGTATGTTTTTTTTCTTCATTTCTATAATGTCACATGCTTTCTGCCCCTGCACATCCAATAAATTAAAAAATATTATGGCAGACATGATGCATAATAGAAGTGTAGAGGCTCCAGTGATGTTTCTTTCCAGAGATAGTCCCCCTCTCTCTTTTTTTTTTTTTTAAGATAAAATGAGGGTCAGCTCTCCCCAATCAATATGGGATATAGCAACTGTACTAAGATTTCATATATCTCTGGACAATGTTTTTTATACACATTTTTCCTATCCTTTGGCTGTTAATCTAATGATGCTTATTCTTCTTATTCTTGAAAGATTGAAGGAGTTTCAGTTACACTCTTCTGACATTTTGACATTAGCTCTTATTTTCACACAATCTTGTTGCTTCAACACTGGCAAATATCTGAATGATAATATTAGATGCATGTCTGAAGCAGACATCTTCATAGTGAGAATTTTCCTATGAAGTTTGGTAATATTATAGGAGATTTTAATCTACTTTTAATGTGATCCTACAGTGTCCATGCACAGACCCACAGTAGAAGAATGAAGAAACTGGTTGTTGACTCAGGTTTCTCAAGATTCTAGATTGTCACCTCAGGCACACATGACAACCAAAGATTGCTGGTTTATTATTCACCCAGTATTCTATATTTTCTTGGGCCAGATCTGATTTCATTCTGTACATAGGATCAGCAAATGCTTCAGGGAAGAAATCAGCAAGAAACTTTCAGTTGTCTTTGAAAGGATCTCTCTAGAATTGCATTCATTTAGTCTGTTTCTTTCATTGTCATCTTTTTTTTAATTAAGATTTTTATGTTACTCATTTTATATTTTCTGTATATTGAATCCTCAATGATTTCAGTGACCTTCCCTGGAAGAAAAGTCCTCTACTTGGACCTTAAATTCTGGTATTTATCAGAGTTTAAACCAAGGCCCACTTTATATTCGTTAGTTTTTCTATGTTTTCTCATCTTCTTGAGACTCTTAAAATCATTTTTCCAGTCAAAATCCCTTTTCTAAGTTACAGAATGTTACACAAAACTATTTACTTAGCCTCTTGGGTGTTACAAAAGGACCTCAAATTTAAGTCCAGAACTGACCTTAATACCCCTTAAACATGCCCTCTTCAACAGTCTGGTGAATGATACCAAACATTAAATTGTGTGAATTAGAATCATATGAGTTATCCTTGCTATCTCTTTCTACACAGTTTTCTGTATCTAGTGCACTGCAAATTACTGATGATTTTACCACATAGGTATCTTTTTAATCTACTCAGTTTATTATATCTGTATTGCTCTCACTGCTATTGCTTACCTCTTCAGTGGAGAGTTGCATAGCCTCTTCATTTGTGCCTTCTTCCAATTCATTCTTAGGAGATTGACTTTTTTTTTTTCCCACAAAGCTAACTCTAACTTTGTCACTTTGCTTAAAATTTTTGGTAACTTCCCATTTTTTATAAGTATGCCCAACATCCTTAGTAAGGCTTTTAAATCCCCACCTATATATTCAGCTTCTTTTTGCAAGTGCCTCTCTTTCATGGTCTATTTTCCATCCACACTGGAACTAAGAAGAGATTAGTATAATTATCCCAGAATATTTTGAAATAAATGCTAGACATCATATTTCATTAATAAATGTCTGCATGAACCTCTCATTTATAAATATCTTTTAAAATACCACAGAAATTATTTTTAAATCTAAAATTATGAATACTCAATATTTTCTTAGTAGAATCAAATGTGTACTCAGCTCCCACCACATCCCACTTTGTTTGAATCAGAATCAAGATAATGTCCATACATCTATGGAGACTCTTTTAATATATTGATTCCCTATACTATTTTTGTCTTAATTGTTAAATAAATTTAGTTTATTTGCTCTGTAAAGTCTTCTGCAGTCTGAATGTTGCTGAATACATCCTCGTGGTGTTGTTTAACATGCTAACATTTTCCCTATATTATC